CATGTTGCTCTACAAACGTTCTGTTGATCTTTGAGGTGACTGAGCTGCTGAACATAGCTATTAAGACGCTACCAAATAAACAGCTAGCAGCAGATGAGAAACTGTCAGATTTCGGGGAAGCATCTAGCGTTATCATGAATCCAGTTTTAACTAAAATTAGCCATCAATGTGGACACCACGACGTAGTGGATGATAAAAACTTGGATGTACACATGATTACAAAGAAACATGAGAAGTAGTAGCAAATTACAGGGAACCTTAAATTATGTGAGTTGACGGTTTCAGCTGCGGAACTCTATTCACACATCAACACGAAATAGACTATAGAGGTGCGAATTCTGAATGCTGTCGAATATTTGATCACGAAAAAAAATAAAACTGATGATTAACCTAGAACCTAGACAATTAAGGAAAAAAGTGAGACCCGAGAGTCTGTTGCTAAACCGGACTACGGAGATGGGGAGAGTTTAGGACACAAAACCTTCTGAGGCGGTCTACTTGAATATCTGCGCTACCTACTCTTTTCGTACAGACATTTCAATACGTTACCTTTCCATTTGTTTTGACACATAACTGTCTGCTTGAGCATCTGGGCTACCTGTTTCTGCCATCCAGACATTTCAACGAGTTATCTATTTTTGTTTGTTTTAATATAGCAATATGTTTATTAATCGCATGATGTATTCTGCTGCGTTTCTGAAAAATGTACAACCTTTCGTTGTCAAGGTTACAAAAAAACTCAATAAGAGACACTGTAGTTGCTGGCAATATACAGCGAAAAGAATGCACATTATTCAGATGTTCATTCGCTGAATTGCTAACATCTAACTGGCGATCACTCAATATTTATCGCCAGGACCGACCAAGAAGAAAGAAACGGAAACTTGTTGAAATACTTTACGCTGAGAATTCTATATTGTACAAAAAATATAATACTGAATAAAGCTGATGATAATAATAATAATAATAATCTGTTAATCACGGGAACTATTTAGGCGCGTAAATCAAAATTTTGCATTTTGTTTTACAAGGTACAAAAGTGTACGACTAGAGACATATTTGTAGTTTGGAATATGAGATAAAAAGAATGGACATTAGTCAAATGTCAATTCATGAACTGCTAACTTCTTACTGCTGATCACTAATTGGCAAGGGTGCTATCTTTAACTCCCTAACAAATAAGTGGATAATACACTTTTCCGATGGGGCAGGTACACGCCATTTTCACGGGCATAATCAATTATTTGCAACATTGGTTTAAAGATACAACGCTTCTCAATCACCGTTGTTAAGTGGATTAAATCGTTGAAAATAAAAGGCAGCACATTTGTACAATGGTACCAGAGAGTTTAAAATTAGGTTTATGTGTTATTAATATACTGCTTTTATGATCTGTTTCAACAATGGTATAGAGTCCATGTTGTGATCTTGAGGAATGCACACCAGGTCAAAATTCTGCAGTTGTGCGTTGGTGTGATATCATCGTCTAGATCGGTATTAGTACATTTTTCTTTGCTACCACAACGATATCTGTTCTGAAACTTCGTGTCTTGACAATCAGCAACATGGTGTCTAGCACTTCTGAAGGACACGTTAGCGTCAAGAAAACAGTAATATGTTCAGTACATAAAGCGAGAAGTTACGTGGTGGTACCACGCCCGTATGACCCAGTCATGCTATTTCCACAAATTATCCTCGTATTCATCATCACTGACCTTTTTCTCCGCGTTGAATAGTAAATGTGACTTCTCTCAGCTGTCTTATGTTCAGCTTTGAGCACCGTGTGGTCAGTATCAATTCCAGCACATTAGAACTGAGACGTTGCTAAGCATTCATGCTATACAGTTTTTCAAAAACTCGTAATTGCTGTGAATTAACTATTAATGGCACTTGCTATGAGCTGTGACCATGAAAAACGCATTCGTTAGGTTTGATTCAGGCGTAAGAAGCTCCATAACGATGAACTGAGAGTGTGGTGCTGAAAAAAGAGAAACTTGATGACAGTGAGACATTTTTTGTATGAACCTTCAACAATGCTTAGCGCTTTGTAATGGAAAAGATGAAGGTATGATATGAGAGTAAATTAATGGTATGTCAACAAATTGCGCGTAAAATTAGTAGAATGATTTAAAATAAACAAGAAGGAACTCGCATTCACTTGATGTCGTTGATGTTTTTTGCAATCGTAACCGGGTGTCGGTTTACAGGCTCTATAGAAGCAACATTACTGTTGGTAGGCAAGTTATCGTGAGGTTAACTTGGCAACTCGTCATCATAGTAGTGGGGACTCTTTGCGACCGACCATAGTTGGGCAGTATCAACAGGTCCGATGTGTTGTCTGTCTACTTCAAGTAAAAATTAAGAAGGGACATATATCCACAGAGATATATTTATTACAACATCAAAGGGAAAGAAAAAGGCAAACGAGACTCAGAGCTTGATATGACTTAGAAATGTAGAGGGCCTATGATATCTGCGTATGGCACAGATATATTAGTGAGTGCTAAAAGATTAGTTCAAGAGAGGGCTTCATGAAGAAGTCTCAGAAACGCATGTAATCTATCAACCATGCGTATTTCGTAAGGAATACTGTTCCAAATTAGTGCATAATTGATGAGAAAGAAGTCTTGCCATGTTTATGATCTGTATTTTTCAACCTTGACCGTAAATACTTTATTTTGAAGGTCATATGTATGTGGACCTTGGGTAAGGACTATATTACATGTGGACCAGATGAGATTTTGAGGAGCTTGAAGTAGATAATCAAGCTGAAGCTAAGCCTTCTTTTCCAGAGAGATTCAAATGCAAGTATATGGCATCGGGAACGATAGTCGATAAGTGAATTAATTTAAAGCATATTGCGAGTAGAATAGCGGACCTGTATTAATCCTGAAAGTTTGCCCTCCATTGAAAATCCAGCTTCTCCTTTGAAATGCTCACCGATGGAGCTGATACTAATTATCTGGGTGAGGTGTTCCAGTCACTAACCGCTCGATGAGCAAAACGGAACCCAACTTTAAGTTTATAAGAATGGCGGTTTTCGAAACTTCTTGTCATAACTTCGGAGACTATTATTGCTGGAGGGGGCAAAAAGATAGGACATATTAATATTCAAATCGTAATTAAAGATATAAAATGTCAATATAAGGTCACCTTGAGTCCTCCGACACGACAAGGGGAAAAAGTTTAAGTGTTTCAAGCGCACATCGTAAGCGAGTTTGGAAAGACCATTCGCTGATTTCGTTCCCACACGCTGAACGCGCTCAATTGAGTTAGTTACTTTACTCAGACATGAGCTAGTTGCATGGATACAGTACTCTGGGTGTGGTCTTACATGCGTGGTATATGAAGTTCGCAACACCTCGTCAAAGCATTTCAATGCTCGACGAAGTGACTTTAATGCGCAATCACCTATGGTAGCTTCCGCGTTGCAATGCGTAGTTGTTTTCAAGTCATGAATCATAATTACTCCAAAGTCCTTACGTTCTCGGACGCATGGAAGAAATATACTGTCAATAGTAAAATGGTTACTATTACCGTGTCCGATGTGCATGAGCACATTCTTCCTAAAATTACCTTTTAAGCCCAAACTTCGAGCTTGTAATAATAATAATAA